GGAAAAGTGAGGGGATGGCAAGGGAGCAAATAAGTACCTGTTCTCCATGAGTTTGAGACACCAGGTCTAACAAACTATACATCTCTAGGTATCAAAAGAATTAGCAGATGTGATTGTTTACACCATGGTCAGTGATTGCTGAAAAACAACTTAGAGAACAAGAGATGTTTTCACAAAATTGGAGAGAAAGAAAATGTCCTAGTTTTCTAAAGAAGGGGAAATCTGAGAACTATAGCCTTGTGAACTTAACTTTGATTCCTGACAAAATTCTTGAACCTTCTATTAAAATGATAGGTTATGATTATCTAAAAAGGGATTCTTATAACAGACATTCATTAAGTGATGATTGCTAAGATAACAAAAGGGAATGAAGCAGGATCTTGTAGTCCTAAATTCTAGAAAAGCATTTGAAGAGGTGTCTCGTGCTGTCCTTGTGGAAAAGACGAGAAGTAATAGAGATAATAGTACAATTAAATGGATTCAGACCTTGTCTAATGGCTGGGCACAAAGAGTAATGATTAATTGATTAGCGCTGACCTTAAGAGAAGTGTCTAGTGGATTTCCACAGGGATATATCCTCAGCCCTATTGTCTACATTTTAATCAATGACTTGGATGAAAGCAGAGATGATGTCACAGTTATCAAGTTTTTAGATGACACCAATCTAGGAGCTAGCACATGAAATAGCAGCTTCAAGATCCAAAGGGACCTAAATAGCACTAGAATGGTGGGCTCAATCTAATAAGTTGAAACCTGGGTAAGGATAGATTTAAAGTCCTATACTTTGGGTTCTAAAAAAAAAAATCAACTGTAGACATTTGGAATGGCAGGGGCATGCTTCTATAGCAGTTAATGAGAAAAAGAACTGAGATTTTAGTTTAAATAGAAGCTTACTGAGTGTTTTATGGCAGCCAAAAAAAGCTAATATGGTCTAGGGCTATATTACCAGAGGCATAATGCCCAGAGTAGGGGAGGTAAGAGTCCTGTCCTGGTCACATCTTAAATACTGTTTTTAGCTCTGGGTGTCACATCCTAGGAAGGCTGTTGACAAACTAGAATATATACAGAGGAGTGCAAATAGAGTGGTGAAATGGTTCCATGCTGTACTGTGTCAGTTGAAGAAATTGATGTTTAGTCTGAAAAAAAAAGATTTGGTAAATTGCACATCCTTCAGTTATCCACAGGCCTGTTACAGGGAAGAGGAGTTACGCTTATTCTACTTGGACCCAGTAAGCAGAGCTAGATAACTGTTTTCTCTACTAAGGGAATTAAAATACAAAGGGCTAGGAGGAAAATGAAACCCAAGATGCATCATTAGATTATAAAATGGCAGAAGGTCTAGTTTTCCTCAATTCAAGTCACTTGCCTCCAGTGAACCATATTCCAAGTCAGTCAAAGAGCTTTCAGATTTGATTGTTGAACCCTTCTCTGTGATGTTTGAAAACTGGTTGATAACAGAAGAGGGACAACAAGACTAGAGACAAGCAAATATCATGGTTTTCAAAGAAGAAATGAATAAAACCATGGGCTAGTGAACCCAGTGTCGATTCTTGGCAAAATTCTAGAATGGATTATGGAAGACACAGTTGGCAAGTATTTAGAGAGAGAAGCAATTGATCACTAAGATTTCTCAGGGACTGTGGATCACCACCCTAGCCTCAGTTTCTTTTTTTTTTGGTAGAACAAGAGAACATTGTAGTTCTTAATATATTTTAATTTCTGTAATGCATTTGACAAATTCTCTCAGAATCATTTTTGGAATTAAAGAAATACTAAATGGATGAATGTATACCTATGTGAATTCAGAACTTGTTGAACATATGACCCCAAAGAATGGTGACAAATGAATTCATGTCACCCTGGAGGGGGGTGACTTTTATGGAGTGCTTCAGAACATTTGGCCCTTTTCTGTTCAGTAGTATTATCGGTAAGAAGAAACTGGGAAGGAAAAACTCTATGAACTTATGTAGAATGAATCAAGCAGAGAACTAAGGGAGACAATTTGTATAGTAACAAAGGCACTATCTGAGGACCAAAGAAGTCTCTCTTTTTCCAGAGATGATTGACTTAAAATCAGAATGAGACAAATATTTTTAGACATTGCCAATGTAGGAATTTGTTTTGCATGTTCCTTGTGAGTGTTTTCTTTTTTAAAATTATTGTTTAATAAGGAGAGACAGCTTTAAAAAACAAAACCGTAATGCAGCCCTTACTAGTAAAGGTATCAAGTAGGAAGCAGTCAGTTTGTTAACAAGTATTTATTAAGTATTTACTATGTTTTGGGCACTGGTGCTAAGCACTGGAGATGCAAAGAAGGCAAAAAACAGCCCCTGCTTTTAAGGAGCTCTCCTTCTCGTTGGAGAGGCATGTAAATAAATATATACATATATAAACAAGATAGGTATCAGGTAAATTGGAGGTAATTGGAGGCAGGGATCAGTAATGTAGAGATACAGGTGTTAGTGTCAACCATACCTTTTTCTGAGTCATCTGCTACACTGATGGAGACCTTTTATGTGGGAGGTACTGTTCTCCTCTTCCCACCTAATGAATTACAACCTCTAACAGACACACGAATAGCTAGAACTAGAAGCTAGATTTTCTGCCACTAAGTTCAGAGGACAATTCTATGCCTGTGTATGATTTAATCTTGCCTCCTCCTCCCCACAAACCCCTTTATATACTTCTCATTACTCAGTTACGCCATTACATTAAATGATGCTCAGGAAAAGGTGCATACTGTTATATATTTGATAAGCATTTGAAGATATTTTCTCGATGGATTGATACTGACCCATCTGTAATCTCTTGCCCAGCCTACTAGAACAAATTAAAGCAGAATCTTTCATTCAGCTATTAACAAGTTGGAATTTCTTCAGGGCTTGGGAATGAATATCATGCTTTTGTGGGGAGATACCCAATGATACTAAATGGTTGCATTGGTTTCAGTACTAATCTCAGAAGAGGGCTCCTGAAGTGTTTAACAAGTCAGTAAGAAGGGTGCAGGCCTTCCTTAACCCTTCTTCCAGCATGAGAAATTAGGTCTTATACATTCCTCTTTTTAGCTCAGAGGAGACAACAGGTGAGCCTGCCTATAGACTAGGAATATCTTATAGTTATACCTCTACCATTTCTCTTCTGGAGGAGAGGCTGCTCAGAGCAAAGTATAATTCAGCCTCGTAGGTGGCAAACTACACATTCATCACACACATGGCCTCTTACCAACCAGGTAATCACATTTCTGCTGCTGTCAGAGAAAAAGGATGAAATATTGAACTGTAAATATTTCCTAAGTTCTACATTGTTATGAAGTATGAGCTCACCAGACTGAAGGCTAATAAGGAATGCTTTAAGAGTGTGTCATTGAGTTGCATCCTAGGCCTTGGGACCAAAATGTTGGATAAGAGGACCATTACCCTTTGAATCCTGTATTTTTCTTAGGTCATTGGCAAGTAAGATAGATAACCACCTCTAATAAGCCCCCCTGTGTATTTATACCAGTTGTGGGAAAACATGATGGGGGACAATGGAGTAAAAATGTTAGAGGGATTTGGCCCCACATATTCTCATATATGTACCTTATTAATTGCATAGTGCATAGTCAGCAAGACTCGTGGATGGCTCCTACCCTCCATGGTTCCTGAATATGTCATGGAAAGCATCATTTGAACTGGGGAGCTCGGAAAAGGCTTCATGGAAGAAATGCTACCTGAACTGAGCCTTAAAGAAAGATAAATATTTCAGCAGGCAGAAAAGTGGAGGGAGTCCATTCCCGAACTTGGGGATGGTCTGTACAAGTGTGCAGAGGCAAGAAAGGATAGGACCAGGTCAAGAAGTGGCTAATCATCCAGTTTTGTTTTGATGGCGAAGCTGAGGACTTTGTGTTTTATTTTTTTAGGCATTGGGGAAGTCTCTAGAGATTTTTAAACAAAAAAACCTTTGCATAAGGAAAAGTATTCTGACAATGGTATTAAGTAACATAGGATCATAGATTTAGAGGGGACCTAGAGGTCCTCTAGACCAACTTCATCATTTTACAGATGAAGAAATTGAGATGAATAGAAATTAAGTGACTTACCCAAGGTCAGTAGGCCACAGGACACATAGGCAGAGCTAAGATTTGTAGTACTCAGATTCTATAATTCCAAGTAGAGTGTTGCTTCTACTAAGCAAGAAAATCAATTAGGAGGCTATTAAGAAAGTTCAGTCAAATGATAGCAAGGGACCTGTTCTAAGATGGTATCTGTGTGAGGAGAAAAGAGGACAAAGAAGAAATTTTTCAGCAAGTAGAGTCAGCAGAACTTGACAACTGGCTAATTGGATATGGAGGGTGATGAGAAAAGAATGAAAGATGAGTGAATTTTCAAGCACGAGTGTCTAGGAAAATGATGATGCCAATCACAGAAATAAGGAAGTGGAGAAGAGAATTGGGATCTGGGAAGAAGCTAAGTTCAATTTTGAACATGTTTAAGGATATTCAAATATAGTTGAAAATGCAAGTGTATGGATCAAGGGTGAGATTGGGACTGAATATATAGGTTTGAGAGTCATTAACATAAAATTGGATCATTGAATCCATGAGAGTAGATGGAATTGTGAAGGAAGAGAATGTTGAGATTAAAGAGGACCAAGGAGAGAACCTTGGGGAACCTTCCACTTTTAGAAGTGGGGGGAGGGGAGGGCCATTTATAGACAGGAAGTGATCCAGGAAAGAGGAGTAGCATGGAAGCCATGGAAGGAAGAAAACATCAAGTAAGAGATGAGACAATGGTCAAAGATATCAAATGTGAGATATTTTTTATATTATCATTAATCTTGATATTCTACACTAACCTACCAAATTTAGTCCATATTGGTCAGTTTCTTTACACATTTTCACAGTACAGGCAGAGAGACAACCACAAAATGCCACAAGGCCAAGTTGAACCAGAAACCTGCCTACATTCATTTCAATGTTCTTTCTTCAAAAGTAGAGTATAATGCCTTACTTAAATTTTTAGGCCCTAGCCTCCAGGCTTCGGGATCCAATTTCAATGCATTTGAATGGAGGAATCCTAAACAAAGAGGTGGTTTGTCCCCAACAAGCAAGACATTAAACCAAGAAGTGGATCTGAGTGATTATGAATGGGAAAGACCAGCAGCTAGTGGGTAAGATTTTTTTTGTGTGAAGCTGTGTCTTCCAACGCTATTTCCCATGGTTAGTAATTCAGGCTAAGTCTGTGCTTCCCTTTTTCCCATGGTCTTCCTCTCCTTCCAAATTGCCCTGTTTTCTTTGACTTCTTGAATAATACAATGTACAAGGGCAGTATGGTTAGTACCACGATGTTGAGCAAAGTACGTAAAGCTATGGAATCAATTGTATGGTCTAATTTGATTTTAAGAAACATTTATTAAGTGCCTGTTCTGTGCCAGGCTGAGTGGTGCAGTGGCTAGAGATCAAGAATAAATGCTTATCCTCTTCCCTTCCCCTTTGGCGTTAAGAAGACTTGGGTTCCATTTTACTTCTGGTACATATGGACTGTGTGACCTTAGGTAAGTCTCTCTACCTTTTAGTATCCCCAGGCAGCTCTCAAAAGCCATAAGTTGCTGAAGAATTACATATCTGCATTGGAAGGATTTTTTTTTTCATCTGGAATTTACTGCACCAGTGAAATAACAGGGCAAAAAATGCAAGATACTCTCCTAGACAGTTGGAATACGTAGACAAACATGAAACTGTCCCTGCCCTCAGCAGGCTTATATTCCACTGGGATAAAACAGCATATAGAAATATAGATGTTTATAAAGTAAACAAATTAATTTGGGAGTTAGGAAGTAGAGTGTACTAATGACTAGGGGATCAGGAAAGGCCCTCCTGTAGAGGCCACTGGAGCTGATTCTTGAAGGGAGCTAACAGTTCTAAGAGGCTAATGTGAGGAAGAAGATCATTTCAGGCTTAGAGATAGAAGGGCTGTCCTATACTCCTATAGAGTTTGCCTAGAACAAAAAAAAATGTAATAAAACACACCTAATGAGAATAGTAATGGGATTCATTCTCAGTTAAGATTCTTTCTGAAATTCAGCTTCTTACTTTATAACAAAGTCTAACAACCTTTGCTTCTCTCTTCCATTTTACTAAAAACTAAGCAAGTCCACGTTAGTAATTGCAAGTTAGCAAAGACATATTCAAGATGGTGCTTTGGGCCAAGAAGTCCTTTTTCACTTTGGTGCTCCAAGAAAGCATGTTCTAGAGTGAATCAGTAACTAATCGGTGAAAAGTCATGGTACCAAAGTGGCATTAATAAACCTCTAGTGGATTAAAAGATATAGCTTTAGTCCATCTAACAGGTTCAGATTGTCTTATCTTTCGTACAAAGCCCAGAAAATTGATGCCCTTGAAGTGCCTTAGTGATATGACTAATAGCTGTAGTCTTTAGAAGTTTGAATATCAATAGTAAGACTCATTTAAAAAAAAAAAGCAGTCTCCTAGAACTTGCTTGCTTTAACTCTGGTCCATTTTTAAAATTTTTATTTTTCTGATGGAGGGAAATGTTGGGAGCCCATGGCCTATGTGGAGTGATATAGGTGGAAAAAAGCAGGACACTCCCAAAGCTCTATCCATTTGACCTTTATTAGGGACTTTAGTAACCCTTGGGCCACAATACTCATCATCTTCTTCCCAATAGGAATAATGTGATTTGTCCACAAAGACACATCTTAGTGGTGGAATCAGGATGAGAATCAGCAGCCTCAGTTTATTTTGTCATTCAGTCGTTTCAGTCGTGTTTAACTCTTTGCGACCCCATTTGGGGTTTTCTTGGCAGAGATACTCAAGTGGTTTGCCACTTCTTTCTCTGGCTCATTTTACAGATAAGGAAACAGAAGCAAACAGGGTTAAGTGACTTGCCCAGGATGACACAGTTAGTAAATTTCTGAGGCCAGATTTGAACTTCTCTTTCTGACTCCAGGCCTGGCACTCTATCCACCTCACCACCTACTGCCCTCAGTTTCTACTGTATTATTTAGTCTGGTAGCTGGGCTCCTTTGCAAATGCTACTGGGTAGAATCAGAAGATCATAGATCCAGAACTCTATCCAGTCATCTAGTACAATCTCCTCATTTGATAGTTGAGGAAACTGATGCCCAGAAAGAATGGGGGGATAACTTGACCAAGATGACAGATAGGAAGTGGCTAATGTAAGATTTGAACCCAGATCTTTGATTCCAAATCCAGCCCTCTGTCCATAACACCAGGCTGACTCCTAGGTGAGAATCAACCCACTCCCAAGGAGTCTTGATTTCACTAAATGATCAATCATTGAATTGCTCTTTGGTGAGGATGAATGTTCGTGCCTTCAGTATTTATGCCAATGTGGACCCCTAAAATTGAAGGATTGTCTGCTCGCCAAGTAGGGGAAAGGCACACATGCGCGTGCACACACACACACACACACATACACACACAGCTCACATGTCACTGAGAATTTCCCAATTATTTCTAGTCCTTTTACCCACCTTTCCACCCTAATTCCTCTACTGTCACAAATGACATGCATGTGTTGAACAAGGGGTAAAAATCTTGATTCAGGGACAAACATGTCGCCAATTTAGATGACTGAGTCTAACCCAAGTCCTTCTATGTGTTCACAGTTTTCCAGGGACTCACAGCAATGCTGATGGGGAACAGGAAGAGAATTTCTGGTCTCAGGCGCTGGAGGACTTAGAAACCTGTGGACAGTCAGGAATCCTGAGAGAGCTCGAGGTAGCACCAACCCCGCCCATCCCTGATTCCAGCCAACTTTCATTTCTCGGTCCTTCTTACCTTTATCAGTTTGCATTTTTCACTCCAGCACATTTAAAAGCTTTAACCCCTCTCCACAGGAGAAAGCGGACAGGCGTCTGTGTTTGAGAAACATGACCCTCTTGGTACTTACCCTTTATGTTAATATTTTTTGCTTGTGAAGCTGCCTTCCCTGCCCTCTACCCTCCAGAAAGCAATTTGATTTTTTTTAAATGCTGCTGAAATGATTTATTCTGCCATTTCCGCCCTCAAGGCTTCCTGACTTGTAGCTTCTGCCATCCTGCCCTGCTAATCCCAACTGCACTTGCAGCATTTCCCACCAGATTGCTAACAAAAAAGAAAAAACAAAAACAAAAATCCAAACCTGGTTTCACAGCTGCTGCGCATCCCATTCTGTTAAGCTGGTTTAGAAGGGTTCCTTGGCATGAGAGCATTTGTATCTGGTATAGAAACTAATTCGATCATTAAGAGGAACATAAGAGGAAATTTTTGCTTGCTTTTTGTCCTTAAAATAGGTAATGTGGCAGCTGGTGAATGAGCACAGCTGACTTTTTTTTTTTTTTTAAGCAGCCAAAATAATCACACAATGCCTTGCTGTTAATTGCAAATCCTGATTCTTTGCTTGCTTTATTTAGTGTAAATTTGAGGGGGAGTGAGATGGTGTGTAATAATTGAATCCATCTTTTACTAGTACCTTCCCAGAGAGTTTTTTTTAATCAAAGCAATTAATATTCCAGCAGCATTCGCACTTTGGAGTGAGAAGTCCTAGACTATTCCTTTTATGTTCTTTTAAATTTTGTGGGGGCTGCAAAAAGTGGCAGGATGTCATTTTCATTCTGACGTCACTTTGAGTCCCTCGGTAATCGTAAGGAATGTGAATGGCCTACTAGGGGAGAAACCTGACTCAGTGCTAAGGTGATGTCGTGTCCCTGTATCACGTTGCTTCTCTCTTGCATGGATGGACCTTTGGTGTGATTCTAAGATGGTGTGTATTTGCAAGTAGGGTTGTCAAGAGCAATTATGAGTTTGAATTTATAAATTCTGTAGTTTCATACGGCATGATCTCACAGGCTAATGTCTCAGTTTCTGTTGTTCAGAGCCCAGCTCAAGGAAAGGGAAGTGGATGACAACTCTGAAATTCAAGCAAATTGAGATTAGAAGAGTCTCTCCTCCTTGGGATTTTCAGATTTCACACGCGGCAGAACTAGTAACTATCTAACAGCTGGTTCCTAGGAACATTTACCACCTTTTCCATATTTAAATTGATTGTTGAAAAGAGCCAAAATTGAATCATGTATACAAATGCATCTGTTTTTGTTACCCTCAAAAACCAGCCATGACACTGTCTTTTATAGGAATGCTTTGGTTCCGATGGCCTTTCCATTTTTCCTTGGGATGCTTTCTGGTCTTGTGTAAAACTACAAAGAGTTATAGACCCTCCTCTGGTATACCGATTTCCAGTCTGTAGAAGCTGTTACTGCCATGGAAGCTTATTTCCAGTTACTGTTCCCTCATGAAAGGGTACTTCAGGATAGATGGTTCCAGGAGCAACCAAGTTGCTGAAGCCAATAGGGCTGCTTTGATAACTGCTTCAATCAACTGGGTCCCTTGGAAATGGAAATACAGAAATTAAATTAATTAGAGAGGCTATATGATATGTCCATAGTAGCTGTGGAATCAGAAGGACCTCACTTTCCTGTCCTCCTTCTGATCCTTACTAGTTGTGTGATCTAAGACCAGTAAATTCTCAGTGCCCTGGGCCATCCTCAAAAACTAGAAATTACAAAGGTGTGATTAATTAATAGGGAAAGTTTCCACACTGAGAATTCTCCACACCAGTAAATAACAGGTTCACCCACATACCTAACATAATAGGCTCCCACTATGTGCCAGGCACTATACTAAATACTGATAACAGAGGATAAAGTTCACAACAACAAAGACTAGTTAGATTTAGGTCACAAATTTAGGTCTTGTTTACACTTTTATAGACAAGGGTAAATAAATGTGTGACCTAGTGCTTTGATTAAAATAGTCATGTGAAAAACACTGACAGAACTAGTATCCCACTTGTGAAATTCATACACATACCTTCATATATACAGTAATTATTATTAATGATAATAACTGGCATTTATATAGTGTTTTAAAGTTTTTAAAGAGGTTAATTCAAATTATTCTTTAATATATTAGTATTTAATATATTCTTTAATATATGATATATTCTTTAATTTATATGTTTAATATGTTTAGTATAAATTCATTAATACATTAATGTATTATGTAATTCATATTGACTATTTAACTTAATATATATCCTTTAATAATCATTTATGATAGCTATGAGAGCAGGAAACCTTAGTTCAACCAAATGACTAGCAAATTGGCAAAAGAAGTATAAACTAGAAGCTAATTAACAAGATTGCTATCAATCTGTTCCTTTTTAATCTCTGTGTATACTTTCACATAACCTACGAGAAAAGTCCGAATTTTGTCATTTTGTTGAACTTAAGCTTCTGGAAACTAATTAATTTAGAGATTATCCCAATCCCCTCCCTTATGTAATAGGCGAGGAAATTAATACCCAGAGAGATTGTGACTTACCCCAAGGTTACACAGTCAGAAGGGTGAGCACCAAAACTCCTTATCTCTTAACTCCCAGCTCAGAGTTCTTTTCTATTTAATGGCCTCTCTCAGAAAAATAAACACCACTGTGTATGTGCGATATGATGTACTTGGTGCAAAGCGAAACTTTAGTAAACATCAGAGAGTAAAGTCCATCAATCCTGGAGAGATTGTTACCTAGAGAGATGCGTCTATTTATTTAGCAATGTTGAGTGATGATATAACAAGGGTATAGCAACACCATTGTAGCTGGACAGAAGCAAAGGTACTATTGAGATCAAAGATAGTTTGTTACTTTTATTCTTATCTTTGCATATATATACTTCTCACGTTCTTATAATTCACTTGAAACAATATCAAAGTGTGGAGACTGGAATGGGGACTTCCTCAGTTGTCAAATGTTGTCTCTCCCTCCTAACTTTCTTCCTACAAACCTTTTGCTTGGTCTCTAAAAGTCCCGTCTCTCAAACATACCCTAGGACAGATAAAGTGATTAAGTATTTGGATTTTTCAGGGCTTCCCGCTACCTATTGGAAAAGTGAATAGGGAGCAGAGACATCAGCAAAGCAAGAACTAAAGTTGATGAATTGGGGTGATCTGAGTAGATTGATATATCAAAGTAGCTAGTGGCACAGTAGATAGAGCTCTGGACCTGGAGTTGGAAAGACCCATGTTTAAATTAAAAACTATGTGACCCTGGGCAAGTCACCTACTCTCTGGTTTGTCTCAATTGCTTCAACTATAAAATGAGGATAATAATAGCATTCACCTCACAGTCATATTGTGAGGATCAAATAAAATGATATTTGTTTAAAAATTTTTAAAAATACTTAGCACAGTACCTGGCACATAGTCGATGCTCTATAAATGCTTATGTCATTCTTTTCCTCCTTCAACAAAGAAAATAATTGGGGCCAGCCAAAAATGAGTGCCCTATATCAACAAAGAAAGTCATTTGCCAACTGTTGATAAATTTAAAAACAAGATTTAGCTCAGATAACGTGCATGATCTACCCATGGATGCGTTACAATTTGACCATATATAGTGCATGTGTATTTTCCAAGTAATCACTAAGATTACTGATAAAAGTCAGGATTTTTCCATGTGCAGTTATTTTTATTCAACCTGGTTATCAATTAAATTGTGCCTGTGTATGACTTTTCCATGGTGACACAAAAGGAACTCTGTTCTATCTTTTGCTTCCCAACTTAAAGTGATCTCAACATCTATAATAATCGAAGGATCTAATTAATTTCTCTTTTGCCGCAGAGTTTAAAATAATAGAAGCTCTGGTAGAAGCTACATTAGAGTTTTCTTCTGATAGGATGACACAGCCCCTCTGCATTGTCCTTTTTTGGTTACTAGTTTAATATGGTTCTTATTAAGCAACCAGACACCATGTACCATGAAGGATATATTTTCCCTACCAAATGCTACATGCCCTGGTTTGTCTTTAAAGTATCTTCACATTAAGAGATGAAAGAGTATTATGGTTCTAATTTTAGAAAAAAAAATATTTGCAGGATTTTTAAGATCATATGATGATGACAGACCCAAACCTAATGTTGAATTCTGCTGGTGGCCCATTTCTGGAATCTAGCTATAGTTAGTTAATCAAAGCAATTAATATTCTGGCATCACTCATGTTGTGTGAGAAATAATCTTATCATTTCTCATATATTATGTTGTGTATATTTCTCATATATGTATGTTGTGCAATCTTTCTGATGTTTTGGTAGTTCTCAGTTCCCATCTCACAGACATTTAGCAAAGCGGTGAGCACAGCAGAGACAACAGATGATAATTCTTTTCTTTTTTTAATTAACTTGTTTTTTAAATGAAAATCTGTTTCTCTTTCCCTTCCTCTCCATCTGCTAATTGAGAAAACAAGAAAAACAAAACCCCTGTTACCAACATGTATGTATAGTCAGGTGAAACAAATTCCCACATTGGCCATGTCGCAAAAAATGTCTCAATCTATACCCTCGAGTTGAAATAGATGATTTTTCTTGCACTTCTCTTAACCCTGGTGTTCTCCACAGAGAACCACAAACTAGTTGAGAAGCATCCACCATCCTAAAAAATCCTGGTATTCTTTTTTTTGGCCAATATAACAAAATTTAACCATTAGCAGCACTTTGGAGGTGGGGGTAACCCAGGTAAATATGAGAGGAGAGTCTTTTCTCTCTTTGTAGCGTGAACCAGGTTCTGTGGAATTGGCGACTTGTTTCTGGGGGCAACATGAATGAAGGGCAAAGGACATTTCTGAATGAGAAGTCCTTAGTCAGTACTCGAAATTAATTCACTAGAAGGCTGCCTGTGTGAATTCTTTCTGTTAGTTCCAATTGCACAGAAAGATAATCCTGCCGCATTCTAAATGGAGCTTTCTTAAATGTCAGAGTCTGAAGGAAACAAATGCTTAGAGCATTGCGCAGTTCCAGTTTCCAAACTGCCCTAAGCATATTCACACCTAACAGTGCAAGGACTTTGACATTTTCATCGGGCATTATGAATGTAACTTACAAACCAGTTTCCTGAAGTCTTACAGACCATGCCTAGAGCACTCATACATCCATTCTCTAGCCTTTGGCTGTGTGCTGAAGTGACTGTATTTTGATTGGGGTAAAGGAGAAGTATGCTTGTGGATTAGTAATCAAACCTCTTCTATCAGTTCAAGGGTGTAATTTTCCCCTCCCTCCTTAAAACTGTCAATGCAACAGGCAACAATCATGCTGGGGAGCACACTGAGCTTGAATCATGAGGCATCCACACCGTCACGTGGTCAATTGGGACGCCAGGCCAGCTTCCAAGAACGGAGCATGTCCCGGAGCCACTACAGCCAGACGACTCGAAGCAACACCCTGCCCGTCGATATGGGTAGGAAGTCTATGCCCCCAAGAAAAATCAAGCAAGAAATCAAGGAGATCATGTCCCCAACTCCTGTGGAACTGCACAAGGTAAAAAAAAAAAAAGAAAGAAAGAAAGAAAAAGAAAGAAAAATACTTAGTCTTGTATTTTATTGTAAGTTGGCATTCAAGGACCAAATTCGGTGTGTTTCCCCAACAATGTGTTTTTGTTGAGGCAAACATGAAAACACCGCAGTCCCTATAATCTAATTCTAAAATCTGGGCTTGAAAGTAAATCCTCAAAGACCATGCTCTTTATCAAAGGTGACCCTTTGGTCTTTTTAACTTAAAAACAATGATAACCATCCTTCTTGAAATGGCACAAAGGAAAAATCACTGGCTTTGGAATAAGAAAACTTGGGGTCAATTCCTGTGCCTTTCACTGCCTTTGTGACCCTGGACAAATCACTTCACTTCTCTGGGCCCTGATTTCTTCATCTGTAAAATGAAGGACTTGGATTAGATGGTTTATAAGGTTCTTTCTGGCTTGAAATCTCTGATGCTGTCATCCTACTTCTGTAATAAAATTGCCTAAATCCATTAGGTCACTCACTGAAGTTTATGACTTCCATGCTTTGAGAATTTTGATAATCTTCTAAACAATGCAACAAGTAACAGCTCTATGCAAGACACTGTACTGGGACAAATAACCCTTGTCCTCAAGGATCTTACAGTCAATTGGGATGTAAATACACACATATGTACATATACACATGTATATTTCATATATGGCTGTGTATATATGTGCACACATGTATCCATGAACAGACGTGTGTTCCTACACATGTATGTGTATGTATTTTACATATATGTGTGTGTACACACATACATGATAATTTGAGAAGAGAATTTTAACAACTAGGGGGTAGCAGGAAAGGCTTCATGTAAGACAGATCACATGAGCTGAGCCTTGAAGGAAGCTTGAGATTCTTAAAGATGGAGGTGAGGAAGGAGCACATTCAGGTCATGAGACACAGCCTTTGCTACGTCCTCTTTGTGCAGAGATTGGATTTGGAATTTTATTTATGGAGTATGGCCATTGACACAGTTTGGCTGGAATGTGAAGAGTGTGATGGGGAGTAACGGGGAGTGAGCTTAGAAAAGCAGGCTGAAGACAGAAGAATGCTTAAACTCAATATGATTACTGGGTCATTTGGTTCCTGGGTCTAGGGTTAAGGGAATGTTGTATGTGTTGCTAGAGAATCACAAATAGGTAACACAGTCTTGGGGGAAATGAAGCTCTCTTGAACATGAAGAGCGAGGAGGAAAAGTCTTAAGCCATGTTTGGATTGAACGCCATTCTAGATGTGTTTGATGATGCTGTGGAATACTGCTTGACCACTTCGAATTCATTGAGGAGACCATTATCTGTCCTCTTACTGTAATAACAGAAGGAGAGCAGTGAACAACGTTGCTTCGAGACCTTATTGGTGATAGAGTCTAGACCTGTGTTCTCTGCTCCTTCCCTTTTGGGGAAGCCAGCTTAAGTTGAATAACTCAGAAAGAACCTACAGACCCAACATAAGAGGTGTAATTGAAAGAATACTGAATTTAGCTAGCTGTGGTCAAGCCACCTTGTCTGCACATGAGGAGTTTGAACTTGATAACTCTCCGAGATCTTTCCCCATGTTAAATTCGAAGTTTAAAATGACTTGAGTTCTTCTTTTCCTTATTCAGAAACCTAAGATTTTGTCTAATTGTGGTAATTTGTGGAGTCTTAGAGGGTAGAGAACCAGCACGGGATGGGGAACAGAGGAAAATGTGAGTTCAGATCCTATTTCTGACACATACTGGTTGTGTGGCCCTAGGTAAGTCATTTAACTTCTTTGCCCTCTCGGCAACTCTCTAAGAGTTCCCTAAGTTTCAGAGAAGATGCCAATCTGCACTGGTTAGTCAGTAAGCATTTGTTAAGCACCTGCTACATGCCAGGTATTGTGCTAAGCACCAGGGATGCAAATCTCTTCTCAAGGAGCCTGCAAGCTAATTGGGGAAACAACATGAAAACAACCACGTACAAACAAAATATATACAGGATGAATTGGAGTTAATAACAGAAGGAAGGTACTAGCATAAGGGGAATGGGGAAAGGCTTCTCATAGAAGAGATTTCACTGGAATTTGAAGGAAGCCACGATATGGAGATGAGGAGGGAGAAAATTCCAGGCACATGAAAACACCTAATCAAAAGATGGAATGCCTTATGAAAGGGACATCAGGGGGACCAGTATCATTGACCTGCATAGTAAATGGGCCGGTAAAGTGTACAAAGATTGTACAGGTATGAGGGGACAATGAAGTTTTAAGATTTTATATTTGATCCTGGAGGTGATAGGGAGCTGTGGGAGTTTACTGAACGGGAATGAGGGGTAAGAAGTGGGCAGGTCTGTGTTTTAGAAAGATTAATTGAACAGCTGAGTGCAGAATAGACTGGAGTGGGAGACTTGAGGCAGGGAGACCAAACAGCAGGTTATTGCAATAGTCCAGGTGTGAGGCGATAAGGACCTACACTAGGATGGCAGCGGTGTCCGAGAAGAAAAGGGGGTAGATACAGAGGTGGAAATGACATGCAAATGATTGGATACAGAGGATGAAAGAGTGAGGAGTAGAGGATACCATCTAGGTTGTAAGTCTGGGTGGCTGAGAAGATGGTGATACCCTTGACAGTAACAGAGAAGTTCAGAAGGAAGAGAGGTTTGAGAGGAAAGATGATTGGTTCAGTTTTGGACGTGCTGAATTTAAGATATCTAAGGAGAAGAACTGTCCATTTCCTCTAAGGCAAAGGATTCTTAACCTGGAATCTATGAATTTGTAACGCTATATATTTTATTTTGTGCATTTAAAAATATTATTCTGAAAAGTAGTGCATAGGTTTCAAACTGTCAAAGGGGTTCATGAGACAAAAAAGTTAATGGACCCCTGTTCTAAGCAATGGGCTTAGACCTGTAATTTCATGGATGTAGGGAACTCCCAGGTGAGGAAATTCTCTCTACCGAGGTTCAATCCTTTGATCCCTTAGTCCTTTCCTAGGTCAGCCACCCTGCACACTTGACTCCCTTCTCCATCTTGACCCCTTGGTGAATCAGATCATCTCTACACTTTGCTTGCAATATCTAATAGGTAGTTGGAGATGCAAGTCTGGAGGTCAGCAGAGAGGTTAGGGCTGGATAAACAGGTCTGAGAATCATCAGCATAGGAAAGATAAATGAAATAATGAGAGTGGATGGCATCACCAAGTGAAATAGAGGGAGAGGAGGAGAGGGCCTCAGACAGAGTTCTGAGGGACACCCATGGAGAAGGACCATTCAGACAGACAGGAGAACCATTGTGGCTAGGTATTTGTTGGTATTGTTTAGAGTAACGTTACGAAACCTAGAGAGAAGAAAGTATTAAGGAAAGAGGGTGACTGACAGTGTCAAAGGCTTCAGAGAGGTCAAGAAGGATGAGGACTGAGAAAAGCCCATTAGATTTGACACTTAAGAGATGATTCACTGGGTGAGTGCGATAGTGAATAGGGAGATGTAAAAGGATTGCTTTGCCAGAGTGAGAACCCCGTTGAGTTATGTAACATATATTGGTAGTGGACCCTGATTTTCTCCAGTTTCATTCAGGAGCAAAGGCAGCAGATAGTGGCACTAATCTGCAGCTATGTCTTGGCAGGGCAAGATCAGGAATACAACAGGGGGGGTAAAGGATTCAAGAGAAAAGCAAAGTGTAGAGATGAACTGGTTCACCAAGGGGTCAATATGGGGAAGGGAGGTGAGTGTAATTAATGCAGAGCTGTTGGCCTAGGAAAACACTAAGAGATCAAAGGATTGAACCTTGGTAGAGAGAATTTTCTCACCTGGGAGTTCCCCATATCCGTGAAATTACAGGTCCAGTGTCCATTGCTTAGAACAGGGGTCCATTAACTTTTTTTGTCTCATGAACCCCTTTGGCAATCTGAAACCTATGAAGCCCTTCTCAGAATAATACTTTTAAATGCACAAAATAAAATACAGAGGGTTACAAATTCATAGATCTTAGGTTAAGAATCCTTTGCCTTAGAAGTAATGGACAATTCTTCTCCACAGATAATGCTTTTATTAGGGTTTAGAGGCTGGGTACTTACATTTAGTACAATCAGTAACAATCCCACTTTTTTCTTTTCCTAGGAACTGAAAGTCTAGACCCTTTTCTACAGTGTAGTCCTCTTAACAGGCTGGAGATTAGTTATTCAGTTTATTGAGGATTAGGTTAAGAATAGCCACTGAGTACCAGCAAAGAGGCAACCTTTGCCTGCCTTCTGCTCTCTGTAGGATTCATTACCTAGAGCTTTTATTACTAGTGGGGGAGAGGGAGAATTTTTCTGAGATGCTTGCTTTACAAAGTCTAGGTTTAAGCTTTATTGGTCTAGGCCACTGGGTTAATGTGATTCTTTTTTGGTGGATCTTAAGCTTAAAGGCCTTGAAAATAATCCCCCTTGAATGACTATTCTATTTGGACTCCCAGATTAGGTCTGCATTGGACATCAAAATGTTCTGTTGCAGTGAATGGAAAGCCCTCCTTGAGACTTCGATAGGTGTCCCCCGGTGACTACATGACAAAGGCGTGCAAACAGAAAACAGCGTGCACAAGCCGGAAGGGTGTGGCAGAACTCTGCTCCCCCTCACCTGTGCCCTCAGCTCCCAGTCCTGAGGGAATGGTGTCCATCTTTTCTCCCCTATCATCTCCTCCCTCTACAGATTAAAAAAACAACAACAAAAAACAACCAAATAACAAGCTGATATCTGTTCCAAAGCTAAGTGATGGGATTCTTTTGGTGAAAAGATTCTTCCTATTCCAGCAGAATGAAAAATCTCCTTCCTATTCTTCTTTGAAAAGCTTTCAACAAAAAATGAGGATAACTGAGTGTAACATGCTGGGTGTTTAAGATGGAGGCCTAAGACGTGGTGGCTTCAATAGGATAGGAGGAGGGACTGGACCGATGCCTTCATTGGTATAGGAAACTCCCTCTACTAATGCAGGCTGGCATCTTCCCTGTAACCTGAAGTCTTAGGGCTTTGCATAGAGGAC